CCCCCGCCCGCCACGGTCCGACCCCCCGTCCGCCAATCATATCTATATATATAAAGGTAGCTGGCGACCTGGCAGGCCAAGTTAGTTGTGACCGACGAGCTCCAGGACTCGCACGCGCTCCCCCCTCTTCTCCGTCAACCTCACCATCATGGTGAGTCGCGGGGCCACTGCACTGCGCTGCAGGGGCGAGGAGGCCCTGCCCGTCCGTGCGGAGGGTCACCTACTCCCATGGGCCCGAGCCCTCCCGCGTGTTTGTGTGAGGGATCGATTACAAAACAAGTGTTCAACGAGTGACGTCGCACTTGTGCCTCGCCATTCGCTATGCACAAGCAGTCGTGATAACCCTACTTGAAGTTGAAGAAGTTGAAGCCAAATCGGACGGTTTGTGCTGTACCACTGCTCTGCCCCGCAGCTGTTCCTCGTGGTGCTCATGGCGGCCGCCTGCGCCGCCACCCCCATCGGCGAGTACGGCGGCGGGATCTCCCTGGGCGGGCTGGGCTACGGCGGCGGCGGCGGCTACGGCGGCCACGGCGGCGCCAGCTCGTACGCGTCCATCAGCGCGCCCGTCATCAGCCACGTCAGCCACGCGCCCGCCCTCGCCATCAGCCACGCGCCCGTCATCAGCCACCAGCCCGTGTACTCCAAGGCCATCGTGGCTGAGCCCATCGTGAGTACGACCCCGCGGCACCCGTCGGGTGACATCGTTTCCCCCACTGTTCAAGTCCCTTTCCTGCCCTCTTCGCAGGCGCACCCGAAGTACGAGTTCGCCTACGGAGTCAAGGACGCCCACACTGGCGACGTCAAGGACCAGAAGGAGATCCGCGACGGCGACGTGGTGAAGGGCGAGTACTCGCTCATCCAGCCCGACGGCACCAAGCGCACCGTCCACTACACCGCCGACGGCCACAACGGATTCAACGCCGTCGTCACCATCAGCGGCCACGCCGTGCACCCGCAGGTCGTCCAGAAGGTGGTCGCCGCTCCCGTGGTGCACGCCGCGCCCGTGGTGCACGCCGCCCCGGTGCTCAGCCTGAGCCACGGTGGTTACGGCGGCGGCTCCATCGGCGGCTACGGCGGTGGCTCCATCGGCGGCTATGGCGGAGCCTCGTCCTACTCGTCCATCTCCTCCCTGAGCAGTCATGGCGGCCTCTCCCTGGGAGGCCTCGGCGGCCACGGCGGCTACTAAGTCATAGTCATTCTCCTCCAGCGGCGCGACGGCCGAAGCCCCATCACCCCCTTCCCCCCTCCATACGGCCATTTTAGTTGTGGATAACCAACTGTGTACATAGCTCAGCGACGCACTGAAATAAATTTATTACTTATTTATAGAAGAAACACCCCGTGTTTTCATCCTGACGTTTCCCTGACACTTCTCGGGCTGCGCTGTGTGATATGTTTGTCACTCCCCGCTCACAGGTCTGCTGGAGGAAATCCCTTCCCACGGAAGTAATGGCCCTGAATTGATTTTTTTCGCCCCTCATCTGCTTGGCACGCACGCAGCACACGGCAAGCGGGTGCTAGCAGCGTACGTCACTACACTAATAGGGCTGAGGGGGGGATGAAGTAGTTACTGCCCTCAACGAGGCACCAGGGATTTACCCGCCGCCCCCTTCCGTTTCACCAAGGTGCCCCAGCAGGTACCCCCGCACCCCTTTGCCCCCCACGACCGCCAGCACGCCAAGGTAAACAAAGCAAACGCCAGTCGTTGCTGGTGCCCCTGCGCAGCGCCCCTGTGCCGGCTGCCGGCTCGCGGGCAGGGTTCACGCCGCTGGCGGCAGACATGCGCCATGGGCCTGCACAGGCGGTGGTCAGTACACAAAGCAGTCATCATTACGACAGCATTGCCTTACTTAGATATAGGACGTTGTTGCGACAGCACTAGCACTACTGATATCGACAAAAATATTTAGTGACTTACGTCTAGTGAGTGCGACAGGTTGCACCGGCTGGGGCTGCTGTTGGGGGTCTTCCCCCTCGTCGAGCGGTCCCCGGCGGGGGCGGGTCGCACCAAGATCCAGTCAGGCACCGGCACCGCCACCAGGCCCTTTCTGCAGTCAGTCGAGGACCTGAAAAGCGTGTTCGGATCGCCGTTTGGCTGGGCGTCAGACTTCTCGTTGAAAACACGGAGAACGGTTAGAAGCGAGGTAGGTGGTACAGCGCACCCTGAAAATCCAACACATGGACGGTCCTCCCTTGCATCAGTGCGACAAATATATTTTTCAAATGCGATCTCCCACAAATACCGTGTTTTCCGCTTCACAACCGCGCCTGAAACTGAATCCTTGCAGCCCATCCTGCTGCGGCGCTCTTGCGCGTTGCTGTGCTACTCGGTGGCGCTCGTGTCGGCCGTCCTGGGCTACACGATCTACTCGGCGGTGGAAGAGTTCCTGGCCGTCACGCAGAACAATGAGGTGCGCTGGACCAAGCGCACGGACGCATACGTGTCGCTGTGCGAGTACACTACCCTGTGGGCGGCCACGGGCGTCGCGGCCGCGAGCTCGTGGCTGCGCAGGGACGCCGACATCCGGCACGCGGATCTACTCAGCGAGGTGGGTCAAGCTCATCACAATAGGACAAAGAACATTTCCCGTGAAAAAGTTGCTCTCTAACATTTCCTGCGCCCCCCCCCCTATATCATCCTGCGCCCCCCTGATATCATCCTGCCCCCCCCCCTGATGTCGTCCTGCGCCCCCTGATAGAGTCCTGCGCACAGGTGGACGTCATGCTGGGGCTGCCACCACCGCGACCGCAGCTGTGGCTGGCAGCCTGGGTGGCCGCCATGCTGAGCGTCCTGGTCGCCGACAAGATCGTGTGGTTCATGACCGAACAGGACAACTACCTCGAAGACATGCCCCTGTACGTTACCTACTTCACATGCTTTGTGTCCGAGACCCTGTACATGAGCGACGCGCAAGCCATCCAGACGCGCCTGGCCGCCATCAACCAGGTCCTCGAGGAGGCCAGTCCTCGCCCCGGTCACCGCGGTACGTGCACCAGCGCTGTGGGCGGCGGGGGCGGCTGCACGTCCGCGTCGTCGACATCCTGGCCCTGCTGTTTTAAAGACGAGCACAAATAATGCAGCCCTTGTTGTCCCAGACGCGCACGGCTCGCCGGTGGTGCTGCCCGGGACGCTGACGGTGAGCCGGCTGGCCACCGCGCACTCGCTTCTTGCCAAGGCCACGCAGACCGTGTCGCGGCGCTACGGCTTGGCGCTGCTCACGGACATGGTCGCGTTGCTCATCAACCTCGTCATCACCTGCTACCTGTTCCTCGAGCACATGCTGCCGCTGTCCGAGCCGCCCGAGGACTACACGCGCTTCTTCATGGAGATAGTGTTCGCCTGCCTCCACTTCAGCCGCATCGTCATGCTGGTCGAACAACCCTCGGCCGCGACCTACGAGGTCAGAGGTCACCCATTAATTACAACTACACAGAGTAATCGATTTACCTCGAAATTAAATAAAAATTGTTGGAGGGCGAGAGATGTCATGGTACCTAGTACAAATTTTGACCGTGAATTTATGACCAAATGCTCGACCAAATGGTTAATCAATGTCATGTGGAACTTAAAAGTGTTTTCGGGTTTTCTACATCGTTCACCTCGACTCGGCCTTGGCGGCGACGTCCTTGGTCTCACTAATTGAAATCGAAGCTACCCCTCCCCCACCCCCTTCTTCCACCTTTCCTTAAAACAAATAATTGACCTGTCCTAAACTAGCTAGTATCTTTTGCTTGTTGTTCTCATTAAAACACAATATTTTTTCGGCGCAGGCCGACAGAACCGGGGCGCTTATGGGCTACCTCGGCTCCACGGTCCCGTACGGCAGCATGATGCATGAGCAGGTGAGCACCGCTGCCCCCCCCCCCCACCTTTTGCTCCGTCCATTTTCCAAAGAGTCAACGCGTCGGAGGGGATTCTGATTTCAGCTGAAAGCTCTGTCGGTGCAGCTGAGGCACCAGCAGACCTCGTTCACCAACTGCGGCCTCTTCGACATGAACAGAACCGTCATCGTTTCGGTGAGCAAACGTTGCACTTGAGCCAACAATCTGTCAATAGCTGCAGAGCCATATAATTTTCGCCTCTTCCCCACTCCACACAGATTGTGGGCGCCGTCGCAACCTATCTGCTCGTCCTGCTCCAGCTCAAGAGCCCATCCTCCACAAAAGGCCAGCCCTCCAACTCGACCTGAAAACGGTAGGTGACGTTGAAAAGTTTCGCCCCAAAACTGTACTTTTGATAACGGTTTTGGTCAATGACATTTTGCTTGTCACCACATTGAAACATATAAGAAGGTTTCTTGAAAGGAACAGAAAGTTCCTGACCGGAATCGCTAGCCAGAAACACACGTTCCTCCCTCGCCGGGTAGTAGAGGGAGGGTGAAGACGCCTGCCTAGACGGAGACACATTTAAGGCACGAGAAGATGTCCAGAGCATTTTGAAGCTCGATTTATCATATTCCCTTCGAAACATAGACCCATCATCTTCCCCAGCAACGCCTTTCGGGCCGATATCAACACCCCTCCCTCCCTCCCTCCCCCATAAAACAAAAACATACCCTCATCGCTGAACAATAATTGGTACGTCGGGGCTTGTCTCCTTATTAATTGTCGTGCGAAGGGGAGGGGCAGGGGCACGTACCGGCGACACTCCGTTTGTGGCGCCGTGGCCACGCCGGGCCCGCGCCGGCCCGCGCCCCACCTGGTCACTCTCGGTCGTACTCTCCGCCGCTCGCGGCAACCGCACCGCCACACTCCTGCGGCTCAATCTCGCGCCACGAACGGACCTGTTCTCTGCTCTGGCGGCTCATTTGAGATTCCCAATACATGTAAGGGACGCACACGGCGGGGCATTGTGGGCCGAGGGGGAGGGGCACTGATTGCTCTGTTCTTTACCAAGATGGGGCTGCGCTCAGTGCCACCGCCGCCGCCACGCCCGCGCCGCGCCCGCGCGCGCCTGGCCAGCGCTGAGTTATAACCAGACCCCGTTTGAAATCAATGAGGGCCTGAATCTCTAATCCGACTCTTGGAGCGCGGGCCGGACTACCCCGGCAGAGAACCCTGCCGATGACAACAAACTGGCCGGCTCTTTGGCGCCCGATGGCGGCAGCACGCTCAATCGCTCAACGCCGATTAAAAACGCAGTATTTGACAACATTGCTGGGGTGCCAGAGTAATTTTACTAAACTCGTTTTTTTTTAGTGGGGTGTTACTCGTCATAAAACCAACAGAAGATCTGGAGGCTTAGCAGCAGGATGTTATGAAAGTTGTGTTTTGGCACCCTTCCACTCTGTCTCAGATGGACTCCTTTTATCTCCGGTCTGCTGCTTCACCTAACCCTCCAGTGCCGCCCTTGCCCCTAAGCTACGACCTTACCCCGGCGCCCCCACCTGCAGCTCTCAGTGCACCTGCAGATGTTGACCATCCCCCCGATCGCAGGCGGACGCTGCTGCACGCTGCCTGCCGCCGCCGCGGGTCTCACAGGTCGCCGCGCCTCACCGGCTCGAGCCGTTGTTGTCGCACAGTGTGGG